GGAAAACGAAAAAAGGTGGTTCAACTGACCTGGTGTTCATGCATGTAGGTTCGCCACTGAGCACATTTAAGGAAAATCATATGAAGTGTGAACAAGACATCCCCTTATATTATAGTTAGCAATCTTGTCATAAAAAAATATTCAAGACATCCTTAAGCAGTATTCTTTGAGATAATGCATAAACTAACAGTAAGCGACTCAAAATGAAGCCAAGATATTTGTACAAACACAAGACCTTAAGTGTATTATCTAATAACCATTTTTTTTTAAAATGGTTATAATGTCTCAAGACATCCCATTATTAATGGTTATTAGAAGATTGTGTGGAGAATTCTTTGATAGACCATAGAATAACAACAAAATGCATTTGATTACAAGGCAAAATGAAGCCAAGCTTTGTAATCTTGAACGAGTTCTTTTTTGTATTCACAGGTAAGAACTTTTGCCAAGTGCGGAATGCTTATTAGGGAAGAGATACACTCTTTGGGATGCCTTAAACGAGATGGATTTTCTCTTTCTTAGACATTTTTGTGGAGATCTTATTGGGATTGAATGAGATTGAGAGCTCTATCTAGTTCTTATGGAACGAGAGAGAGAGAGGGGTCAGAATGGAATTGAGAGCTAGGTTTATATAAAGATAGAGAGAGTTAATAGGATAAATGTTGTAGATATATATGCACATGGAATATATATGTACACCATTTGTGCATTTAGGTTTGCTTATTGTATCTTCCAATTAGTTTCTCTCTCTTTTCAAATCATGTTTCCATCAAATGATCACTGGGAAATGCATGGTTTTAAAAATAAATAAAATGAAATAAGTAATGAAGGATTTAGGCGTCAAATATATTTAGGTACATCATTTCATGAAGTATCCTCTGTAGACTTGCGAATGAGACTGAAGTGGATGATAGTAGTTAGTGTGTTCATTTCATGAAAGATCTTGTATATTTCTTATTATTTTTAATACTTTTAATCTAATAAATGAATTCTATCTATAATTTTATCATATTGAACTATTAATAAAATAAGAGAAATTTTATTGTTTTTTAAAAAAATTAT